TCCAATGGTCCTCACGAGATCACCTTGACTATTAACAACTCCAGCCTCAGCCAGGTGCTGGCCCAGGTGGCCAGCTCCGCCACCACGTCGTCCTCAGGCTCACCGCAGGAGATCACCCTCACAATATCGGGTCAGGACCTCATCCAGCACAATTCTAATGGAAGTGGAGAGCTGAATGGGAGAAACTGAAGTATTAAGGCAACTACCAACACAAAACTCAATTATAAATATGATAAAATTAGCATTTATTTAAATAATGGACATAGTCAGATTTTTAAGTTTGTAACAAGGAGAGAGGCCCTACAAAACTACCCATTTGCAGGCATGTTTTCACAGAAAACTGCTAAGGTTTTTTGTTGGGTTATTTTGTGTTGGATTTTTGTGTGTATATTGTGTTGGTTTCGGTTTTTTTACTACTGAGTATTGTAGACTCTGTGATAAAGAGTTTGGTTAGACATTGTCTTTTTAGACGTGAACATTATAAGCCATGAAATTGGATTATTAACTTGTTTTTATCTATGAAAGTGATTTGTCCTCATCTGTAACAAGGCTGCCACAGGCTTAAGCTGGCCTAAGACAATGATATTCATATGCCTAATTTGCCGATAGCATCTCAACATTAAGAAGACAAAAATTCTCATCATTGGATTGATAAGCAACATCATGACATATGGGAAAAATACTGACATTGTCAGTAATTTCATCTTACTTGGATCCACAATCAACACTCCTCATATCAGTAGTCAGGAGATCAAGAGACATATTGCATTGACCAAGTCAGCTGTCAGAGTTCTCTCCAGCTTTCTGACGAGGAATGATGTCAATTAAAAACTAAGGTGTGCCTGACTAGAGCATAGTGTTTTTCATCACTTGCTATGCATCTGAGAACTGGACAGTAACTAAGGATGGCAGAAGAAGAGTTGATACCTTTCAACTGTCATTTTAGAGAAGAGTGCTGACTATGCTATGGACAGCCAAAAGAACAGATATTTCTTGGAAAGAGTGAAACCAGGGTGCTCCTTGGAGGCAAGGATGACAAAGCTTCGTCTCACATATTGTGGGAATGTTGCTAGGAAAAGCTGTTTTTTGGAAAGGAACATAATGCTTGGCAGGGTGGAAGAGGGTCAGTGAAAGAGAGTAAGATCGTTGACAGGATGGATTGACACAGTGACTGCCCCAATAGGTTTAAGCATGTCAGAGATGATGAGGACACCAAAAGATGGAATGGGGTTCAAATCAGTTGTTCATAAGGTTGCCACGAGCCATAAACTACCAGGCTCTTAAGAACAACAAGAGCAGCAACATATTTAGTAAAAACAAAACATCCATTTGCTCATTTATCAATTATTAACTCAATTAATCTTCTGACCAATATTGTCTTGTGCTTTTTTGTAATAGATTGAAAACAAGACATGATGTCAGCTAATTATAAATAATTCTCTGATTTATATAATTGTAGTCCCTATGCTTATAATTATCCATGGAAGACAGTGTTTGGTGAAGCCCCCCGATTAAAACAAGCTTGGAAGCAGGAATGGCATCCACTTCTTAAATAGCTTGCCTCTGGAAATGCTATGAACTTAGATAAATGATGAAAGTTATACAAGTGTTTGGTCTTTTGCTCATAGGGTCGCTATGAGTCGCCTACAACTCGATGGCAATTAACAACAACAACAACAATTTGCTGTAAGAGATATAACAATTATCTGTCAGTTTCTTACACCGGGGAAATGATTTTCATATTGCTAATTACTTTGTTGTTTAGATATATACACAGAGCGAGATTCTTGCTTGTTTATCATTGTTCTTACTATTATTGCTTGCTTATCATTGTTCTTATTAGTGTAGCACTTGTCTGTGAGTCTGCTGTGTATGGGTTGCTGTGATACTGACAGCTATGACACTGGGGGTTGGGCTCAGGGGGGTTATATGGGGTCACTGCAGTAGCTTCTTGGTGCATAAAGTTTCTGGTCTTGGGAAACTGGTTCTGGGGAATGTCCTGACATAGAATTTCTGAGTTCTGGTTTCCGAAAAATGTTCTGACATAAGGTTTTCTGAGTTTTGGTTTTAGGGAATGTCCTGACATAGGATTTTCTGAATTCAGGTTTCAGAAAATGTCCTGACAGGATTTTCTGGTTTTGGAAAATGTCCTGATATAGGATTTTCTGAGTTCTGGTTTTAGAAAATATCCTGACATAGGATTTTTGAGTTGAACTTCAACCTCCATTTTGATTTTGAGCCTATATTTAGCCTATTTAGTTATAGTATTAGAGATAGAGCTCAGACTGGAAGTCTATCAAAACGAGAAGAAATGGCTGCAATAGTTTAATTGAATAGTTAAATCAAAACTCTTTAATAATTGGAACATGCAATGTACAAAGTATGAGTATAGGAAAACTAGTTGTGAAAAGTTAAATGTAAAATAGAAGGCATGAACATCGACTTTCTAGGCCTTAGATGAGATAGACTGACATTGGCCACTTTGAATCAGACAATCACAAAGTGTTTTTCAGGGGGGAAAAATAGTGTTGAAATCATAGTTAAAAAGACAATTTGAAGTTCTATCCTGAAGTAAGATGTTTTAAGTGATCGGATACTATCTGTAACCATACAAGGAAGCTCTGTTAATACTATTATTCAAATATAAACAACAATAGCTAAAAAAGCTAAAGAAGAAGAAACTGAGGATTTTTACTTGTGGACTAGTGGCAAGAAGCTGCCCTGCAATCCCAAAGGCGCACAGTTGGAGGCCACCAGCTGCTCCACAGGAGAATGGACAATCTCCTGTGTGATTACCTGCCTTTGAAAGCCCGCTAGAAGATCAGCTATGGGTCAGTTCCAACTCTAAGGTACACAACAACAACCAACTTTTGCAGTCAGAAATTACCAAACATGAAATCAAGATGCATTAACAATAACTGGTGACTGGAATGCAGAAGCTGGAAACAGTGAAGAAGCAATGGTAGTTGGAAAACACGAACTTAGTAACAGAAGAGAGGTCAGAAATCAAATGATCGAATTTTGTACCATCAATGATTTCTTCACGGAAAATACATTTTTAAAAAAAAAAAAAAAACACAAGCTGTGATGGACTGCATTGGGATCAGATTGACTACTTCACCAGTAGGAATC